CGTCTAAAAGAATTTCCTGAGTTGAGTTTTAAAGTTCTTCCCTAAAACGTATTATTTTAGTCACATGCTATTGAATATTCTGCTGTGTTTTATATACCTTTTTGGCTATTAAAGTGTCTTTAAATAAGCATGGTCGAAGAAATTTAACTCAATTTTTTGAAGCATCTATTCTTATGAAACATGGTTTGTTCCTAAATTTAATATTTTCTAAAAAATATATATAGATCCGAAGGTGGCTATGCCTTAGTGCGAACATGAATGGCGTCTAAAAGAATTTCCTGAGTTGAGTTTTAAAGTTCTTCCCTAAAACGTATTATTTTAGTCACATAATATTGAATATTCTGCTGTGTTTTATATACCTTTTTGGCTATTAAAGTGTCTTTAAATAAGCATGGTCGAAGAAATTTAACTCAATTTTTTGAAGCATCTATTCTTACGAAACATGGTTTGTTCCTAAATTTAATCTTTTCTAAAAAATATATATGGATCCGAAGGTGGCTATGCCATAGTGCGAACATGAATGACGTCTAAAAGAATTTCCTGAGTTGAGTTTTAAAGTTCTTCCCTAAAACGTATTATTTTAGTCACATGCTATTGAATATTCTGCTGTGTTTTATATACGTTTTTGCCTATGAAAGTGTCTATAAATAAGCATGGTCGAAGAAATTTAACTCAATTTTTTGAAGAGTATATTCTTACGAAACATGGTTTGTTCCAGAAATGCGATACACGCTGCCTAATATGCTATAGAATTTCATATTTTCAAAAATGAATGTCATACCAACAAAAATAGATGTTAAGAGTAGTTTTTCTCAATGCAGGAGTTTTCACTAAGTCAAATACTGTTTCGTCTCTTTTTTCTTCCATTTTCATCTAATGAAATAAATAAATAAAAATACATCAATTATAAATTAACAGCCATTTGTAAGCAACCTATTATAAGAAGGTAGAAAGAACTATATATATATGCTTATATATAGATAGATAGACAAGTTAAAAATACAAAGAAAACATAGAAAAATATGAAACATTAAAAACCTTAACACATAGAAACATTAAAAAACGTTCTTAAACATATTTACAAATTTAAAATTTAAGAAAAAAATTAAAATAAAAATGAATTGGAAAATAAAATACGGAAAACACAGAATCTCATCATCTGCTCATACAATTACATGCGAAAAAAGTGTCAAAACACAAAACGTATTTTAACACATTTTGTCTTTAAACTCATTGATAAACTTCTGCATCCAATCGAAAGTGCAGTAAATTTTCATTTTTGCGCATTATTCACATTGTTTTGCTTTGTTCAAAGATAGCATATATAGCATAAAGTATAGACTGACTTCAAAGCATACATCTCTTCATTTGAATGATTTGAAGATATATATGCATATTGAAAGTTAGATTTAGTAAATTTGTCAATTTTACAAATCTTAATAACTTTAATAAAAAATTTAATGGTACTGAATAAATTAAATTTAATCCTGACATCAAAATAAGAGCTCTAAATATCAGCTAAGTGCTAAGCACCCTCGTCTTTGAATTTTTTTTTATAATAACATTTATAAATTAAAACTACTGCTACTTCTGAACTGTTTATCCTATCCACTCCTGTTTGATCCCAGTTGACTAAGTTCTATAAAAATATAGTGGATAAGACTTTATTTCTCTACTTAGCGTTGTAAGATGTAAAAATAAAAACAAAACAAATATTATAACTTTTATACTGAAAATCCTTATACCATCTAAGCTATTAATTACATATTTTTCAAATTTGGTTTCATTTTATTAAGCGTAAAGTAATACATCCAATAGAATACATAATTAGCCTAGAAAACAAAATCAAAGTTTAACCCTTTTTATTCATTTTCTTTACTCTTTTTTCATGCAACTACTGTCACATACTAAGAAGAAGGTGCTTGACAGTTTATCACTAGCATAGAATTTTTTTAAGCAGCCAGGTTATGACAATTTTTGAGCTAACTTAATTGTACTCTAAGAACTGGAAACAGTCGTTAATGGTCATAAAAAATTTTCCTGAAAATAAACTGCGTTTAAGGACGTTACAATACAAATATTTACTACTTAAAGCTCACGTGCAAACTTCTGAGCTGATCAATTATTGATATGCCACGTTATTTAAATTTCCTTGTGCATAAAAGTTATGTTATCATATCATTCAATTGTAATAATTTTTTTCATCAGTACACTGTGAAAAATTCCGTTTAAGTTAAAGTATTATTTTGGGTTCATCATCAGTAAAATCCTTTTTACCATAAAATTAATTTTTATCGTGAAATTTTACATCGTAATTTTTACATTAATATTTATTTCATTAGATTGATTCAGTGATTTTACGGTAATTATTGCTGTAAAAATACAGTATATCAGATTTTTTGTTCCGTAACTTGTTGCGGTAAAAAGGATATTCGGTAAAAGATTCCGGTACTCTGAGTGCTGGTACTTTTTACCGTAATTTGATCCTGAATTTTTCCCAATGAATATGTTGCAAATATTGTTCTCTAATTTTACATAAAAATTAGTCGTAGTACTTTTTCTTTTCAATTTCAAAAAAATATGTTTTCAATGAAATTACCTTCTGTTGGTGCCTTACAAAAGTTTGAATTGAAGCTTTGGCATAATTCATATCTTTTCCATTTTTCTTAGCAGCAATTAATAGTATTTTTTCCAGTTCCAAAAATTTTCCATGCGTTAAAAGCCAACGTGGTGTTTCCGGTAGTACCCTAGTTTAGTAACAAATAAATAAAACTGCATAAAAAGTCATGTTTAATTTTTATTTTATTTTGAATGTAAGCAAAGATAAAATAAATTCAATTATTGTAATGATGAATGCATTAACTGAGTATTCTCACAGTCACTTGCCACTAGAATCAAAATTCTAAATATTTGTTTTTAGTTTGAATAAAAAAAAGATTGGTTTTCTAAAATGGTATAGTATATTAAGTATATTTACATTTGTTTAAAGTATATTTAAAATGTCATTATTTACTGTTTACTGTTGTACTGTTATTTACTTTCATTATTTACTGTATTTATTGTACCACAAAAATGGTTGGTGCATTTAAATTCATTAAAAATTTCCTATTTAGTGAATTTAGAGTAAAAGTTATTAAATTAATCATGATTGCATTTTGTTCTGATTAACGAAGTCCAGCTTAAAACTGTCCGATGAATGGATAACTTCAGAACTTACTCTACGTTTGATCTCTGGTCTTTGGAACTCAAGCACACTGCTTTAACTAGTCACTTGTGCAAACAAGAACTAAACTAATGTCAGCAACTAGTACAAATGAAACACTAAAACAATGTTTTTAAAATTTGTTATGAATATTTCTCTTTACATTCGTGTCACCAATTATCAAATTTGTAAAAGATGACTTTCAACGAACTTAATGTTTACTTAATGCTAAATATTTCAGAAATATGCTTCCCAGATCCCATCGAAAGAGCCTTTAAATCAGATATAGTGCTCCTCAAAGAATTCGTTATTAATTTAATATTGGTATTTTTTTAAAAAATATTTATAATAAACCAACTGAATTCTAGCAAAACATTTAACTTGTTAAGAAAATTAATTTCCTTTTATCTTTAGCTTCTCAATCCTTCAATTTTAAGATTGCATCTCGAAATCTTAACGTATTCTACGAAAATTACTTTAAAAAGATCATGCAAATATTTAAAAAAGAAAATAACAATTCAGGTATTCAGTTTACCAGAAAACAGACAAGAGGCAAAGCCAGGGCATGGTTATAGTGAACTGAAGCCAGAACCAGCTGGGAACCATCCATGCTATCAGTGGCATCAACATATAGGCAAACACCCAACCTGACTTGAAGGTGAAAAGATAGATGGATCGATATTCAGCGCTCACAATTTCTGAAACTATGAAAAAATGTTAGTATATATCAGTGTCTGAATTGTTAAAATAAGAAGTCATTATTATTATAAATGCATGCACATGCCCTAAAAAACATATGGCGTAAACTGACGCAAATGACGTAGTGCTTTTTTCATGACTAAAAGGGATTATAACCATTGTAACCCATCCATATTAATTTAATTATACATTTTTAATGATGTATGCTATATATTAGGTTTCTAAGTATCCATACATTTTAATATTTATATTACGATGCAACTCTACAGTTTTGTAGATTTTGCGACAGATTGGTCTAGACAGACCGAGGCAATTTTCCATAAAAATAATTAATCATTTTAACACTTTTCGTAACTATAAAATTACTATAAAATATAACTATTTCTAACTATAAAAATAGAGTAAAAATAAAAGTAAAATAAAACTAGAAGTAGTAGTACAGTTTTGTGGTTCATTTTCTAGCACATGATTTTTTTTCTAGAGAAAAACAAAATTAAATGAACTGAAAATTTTTCTGAATTACGCTAAACATTTACCTAACTAAAGATTTCTAGCGTATAATTTCCAATAGTATTTTCTATAAAAAATTAGAAGAAGCAATATTTTAAACGTATTTAAGTATTTAAGCGCATCTATATCGATCTCAGCTAACTTTTCTTTTATTTATTTAAATCTTATTTATATTCCTTAAACAAATAAAAAAATAAAAATTAACAAAATAGTTAAATTTTCTTTCTCTTGGGTAACCGAAAAGTTCCTATTTTTTTAGAGTTGAAATATTTAGCGTTCTGCTGTTATTTATGAAAACAAATATAAACCTACTTTTTTAGGAGTGGTCTGCTACCTACCCCTATCAGCTGTACTCTAAACGACATTATTCTTATTACATTTTTTAAATTACGCTTATAGCTTGAGAGAAAAACTTATTTGGATAAAGGTATATTTATTAAGAAAACGTAGGACCATGTTTTATTTCGTAACCAAACTAGTAGTTGAGCATTAGAGGATTAACAATTCCTAGTTCAGCCTTTCGAACACTGATGTTCACAAATGGCATGGTCAAGTCAAATTGTTAGATTTAAGGTTATTTAGTAATTTCTCATGTTCCCCTATATTATATGTTATTATCAATAATAGTTACATTGGATGCACTAAAGAGAAACATACTGTGCTTTGATATATAAACATTTTTTTACTTTTTTTCCTTCATTATCAATTATGAAGTATTATTAAATACAAATATAAGTAATAAACATTGTTTTAATGTTGTTAATTTTATACCGATATGCAATTTGACATGCCCCATGTTCTTATAGATAACACGTAATTATCACCAAAAAATTACATTGAAAATTACATTAAAGAGTAATGGATCGTGTTTTATTAATATTTTAACAATCTCTTGCCTTTTTCACTTTAAGTAGTATGGAATATTATGAACTTCATTATTATTTGGAAAGCATTATTAGACGTAAATATAAATGAAAAACACTGTTTTAAAATTAATACCTTTACACCGATATGCAATTTGCTATAGTTATAAGCAATATGGTAAAAATTTAGGTTGGAAACTAAATAATGAAAACAAGACGTTGTTGAAATATAAATTTTTAAATTCCACCTGTTTATGTTATATAAATCAGTGTTTGCATTCAATTATGAAAGCAAAGCATTAGAGCAATCACCTAGATATTGAGTAATTTACATCAATATCGCAAGCGTTTTAAACATTATAAAACTGGATTAAATTCTTTACCCTTAAGTTTCATTTCTAAATAAATTGTTACATAGATTATTTTATTATCCTTTAATGAGCATTGGCCACGTTCTTAGTTCTGTCTCACAGACAACATATACTTATCCTATTTCTTCTATTATTTATTTCAATACACATTTTTGACTTGGAAAATAACGCTTTGCCTTAAATTATAATTAAATAAAAGATAAAAATATTTTAAAGCATTTTTAGCATTCTTTTATTAATTTAAGTTTTAGGAAAAAAAGATCGAAATTTCTATTCAGATTGAAAATGAAATTTGGTTCTTTTAATCTCAGTGTGAAAAATATGCATGTGCCGATATTAAACTAATCTAAAAGGTCGAACAAATGCATGTAAACTATGACGTCACCAATATTGAGAAACATTAGAAGAACAACGAAACGGCGCACTGCTCCTGACGTATAATTTAAATTAAAATGAATTGTTTTAATGTCATGTTCATTTGCTGACGAAACCATAGATAAAGGTATTTTCAGATCAAAATCCATTGTATCGCATTTTCTTTTCTCCTGTAATCCTCCCGATGTAAATTTAATGTTTCCTGTTGCTAGAAAATTCTATGAATACTTAATTAATTAGGTAATGCCACTAATTTAAGCCTGAACTGTTTTATGATCATATAATTTTATTTTCTAATGTTTATTTGCTAACAAAGCTAAAGTAGTCCAGTTTTCAGATCAAAATCCATCATATCGCATTTTTTTCCCTGTAGTATGCAAAATGAGTGTTTCCCATTACCCGAAAATTCTATGAAATCTAAGTTAATTAGCTAACTTCAAAAGTATGAGGTAAAATACCTCAGACTAAGATAATAAAGCTAAATTGCTATATACTTTTGGGATTATAATATTTCTAGATTATCACTATTATCACTATAGAAGTGTGGTTACTAAAATTTTATTTCATTTCAAAATCTTGGATATTTTAGCATTATATTTGTTTGACATATTTTTTTACTACAACGCATTTCTTGTTTATCATTAAGTTTATTGACTTATAATAAATATACGAAGCAAATTAAATATTCAAAATACTTACGCACTACGTATGATATGGTGAATGTAGACGTAATTCCCATGGAAAGAAAGAAGCGCAAAACAATAAACATCATGAAATTTTTCGCCAAGAGAGTCAAAAGTGCAGCCACCAAGAACATGGAAATACAACTGATCATGGTTATACGACGTCCAAACCTATAAAATGAAGCTCAATTATAGACATTTTGAAAAAATTTTGGAATTAAATTCAAGCATGTGAAAAATTAAAAAAAATGTGTTCATTCCCAAAACGAAACTTAAATATTAATACTTTGAAAAATATTCCAGAATATATTCAACACTGTTCGAAATTTCTCGAAAAAACACAGTTAAATAACAATTTATTTTATTGTTATTTTATCATATTTAAAGAAAATAGTCAAATAACCTTAAATAAGATGGTATTCAAACCGTAAACTGGGGGAAAACCGTTTATTAACTGCTTTCACCTAATACGGTTAAACAACCAGAATTTTATCGTTCCATCTAAGACCACTTAATGATCCCACTCAGTTCCATGAAGGTGGGTATTTATTAGAGCCGAGAGGACTTATCCAGTCTCTTCACCGACAGAACGGGGGTTTGAGTGCCACTTTTGGCAACACAATATTTTTTTTAATTCCCTTTCATACATGAAGAGTTTCTAATATCCTGCATTCTCCAATTCCCGTTATGTAACGAAAGCCTAATTTCAATGTAATTAACTGGTAACTAGTTTCCAGTAAACTCTTACGGTTTTAAAACCATGCTCGTTGTAAATGTTTAAAACCAAAAAAGTAAGAAATGTTCTTTGTCATAAACTTAACGGTAAATTGGATGGTCAGACTTCTGTCGGTTATTTTACCAAATCCTAGAATGAAAATTCTAACGGTGAAGCATAAATATTTAGGAATTTTTTTTCGTAAATCTTCTCAAACTTCTAAATCTTCTAATGAAAAAAGAAGCTTTTAAATGAAAATGAAAACAAAACTTCGTTCCCTTTCAGAGATTTGTTGTTTATATATTTAGAAAATATTTTGGATATTTTATTTAGTTCACAAAGTTAATCTTATTAGCTAGTACAAATCAATTTTGCTTAGATATTAATACTACCAAAAATATTACTTCGTTCTAATTCCGAAGTTTTAAAATAATATAAAGTTTAAATACTATTTCATTATGAAAGTTGTCAAAGTTAAATGTATCCTCAAAAATATTGAATATTAAAGTAAATTATATCCTTAAAATATACAAAGCTGATCTTATCATAAAGGGGTCCAAGCTTAAACAGCTGTCTTGTCCAAGCTTAGACAGCTGTCTTGTCCAAGCTTAGACAGCTGTCTTGTATCTAATTTCATAACTTAAATTGTCTTCTACGTTAACTAATTAGAATGCTTGCTAATTAGAATCTCTTCGAACTATTACGATTCAGTCCTATTAAGGGAAGATTCGATCACCAGATCAAAAGTTATTTGGGGTGACCCATTTATTGATCACTGTAGTTACACAAATATCACTCAAATTAATTTTAATCTAAATAAAATTATAAATTAGTGAAAACTTATACCAATACACGTAGTTAAGGCTTAGAAATTTATGAAGAACTTAATTTTAGGTATGAATAGAATTATAACTGTGTTGAAAGTATTAAAAATGCATGATTTGTATAACTCATTTGTTCCGGTATAGGTAAAAAATAAACAAATCTTTATTTTGGACAGAATCGAAAGTTTCTTTAGCATTAAAAGTACTATTTTAAAACAACGCACCTAATAATATTTAAATGGAATCAACAAAGTAATAAGTTGAAATGTTAGAAATCTCATCTAGAACATATTTCTTTTAAACGTTCAAGTGTGAATTACAATGGATGAAAATCCATTAAAAATATATCCCTTTCATATAAATTATTTGATAATGACGTAACGCTTTTATTGATTATAAATTATGTACTATAAAAACAACATAGAATAAAATACTAGATTAATCAGAACAAAATATTTTTATAATTATTTTATTTAAATTTTTAATAATTACTCCTTCGTTTAACAAATTATACATTTGGCTCAATTATGCGGTGTATTTATGTCGCTGTAAATGAAAAAGTTTTTTTTTTGCATTTTGCCGATTGTTAGCCACTACTAAAAGTTATTTCAACCTAATAAATTGCACTTATTTTTAATATCAATAATAAAAAAATTCTTTTCCTTTAAGAATATTTATTGATGTGCTACAAATAACCCGCAAAAGCAAAGAATAAAGTACGATTCACAAATCATAATCATTCGAAATCCTGTGAATTAGTATCAACATCGAAAATAATAAGTCACAGTTAAACGAATCGATAAATCATAAGAAAAAATCATGCCTTTTAAATTGAAATAAATGAATATAAACAAATTATTTGACTTACCGATCTGACAACTGGCCACATGTCGTTGCCGCAATTAAGAATGCAACCATGTAAACAGTTTTGGAAACGGAAATTAACCATTCTCGGTTGCATACCAAATCCCACTAAAAATATCAAAACCATATGTCATACACTAACATTTGTTATTATTTTGGGAACTCAATAATTAAATTGTGTTTCATTAGATCCTTGATATATCACACAGAATAAACTAATTAAAGCGGAAATGCGATATTTCAAGGACAATTAAAGTTAGTCCCACAATCCTACAACCAGTGTAAACCGGTTCTTGTACTGGTTCACTCCGGTTTCATTGTATTCATGCAATATGGTCCCAGTTATTATTAATTGAATAAATTCCAATCTTCATCGAATTTACTATAATGTATAAAACAAATTACTTGTGAAGTGCGCCATTTTAAATTGAAATCAAGTTTTGAAGAATAATATTATATCAACGATATATTTAATTCAAACATATTCAAATCGAGATCAGGATTTGAAATACAATGTAAAGTTAATTATATACTTTTGTAAAAATATTTATGCTAATTTGAGTCCAGTATTGATAAAATTAATAATGTAGTTATTTGGTAGATATTTTATTCAAATAAATTGCACATGTTACATTTATATTTAACACGTTGTTTACAAAGAACTCATAAAAAAAGAAATTCTTTAAAAATATTATTATAAATTAACAGCATATAATCAAGAATTTTAGTTAAAGAGAAACTAAATCGGCTTAAAACCTCAACGAATTTTAAAAATTTCTCCGTCACTGAAATTTGTTGATTATTATTAAGAACAAAATATTTTATAATAATTATTCAAAATTATTATTTTTAATATATTATCTTAAACAAATTTTACAGAAGAACTTAGCACACAAAGTATTCAAGTAGAAAAATGATAATTGAAAGAAACATTTATTTCTATTTGTTTTTAAACTAAATTTTTCATTCAAATTTTATTCACAAATATTGAAGTTATTTTAATTACTTCTTTTAATACAAAAGTAAAATTTGAACTATTTTACCATAATTTTCAATTTCTTTTCCCGATACCACTACTTAACTCCCACTGTAAATGAAAGTGCATTTTTTCAGTTCATGACTTTTATCCAGGTTTGGAATTGCTCACAAAAGTGGTTCAACTTTGTGAAATCAAATATTTTTGTTTTAACAGAAAAATAGCTTTTAACTAATTAAAATAAAACCGAAATAAAAATATTTTTTGCATAATTCTAATTATTCTTACAGATTTTACTTAAAAGCTTTCAACATTTAAGAACGGAAAAATTATGATTACAAATATTTATATTCATTTAAAAAGGAATTAATATATATTTAAAAAATATTAATGCTTCTCAAAATGACACTATAGTCAAACATCAAAAGTATGTCTCGTCTAAAACGAATTGCAATTTAACATAATTACCTGAAACAAATGAATGCGCAGTGAAGTTCCAGTTAAAAAATTGTTTTCATACTTCTTAAGTTAAACATACTTCAAAATTTAAATTTGAAGAAGAAAATAATTTTTTTTTTGCATTTATGCCCAGACAGGCACCTTGCCCTCTTTCTAAGTCTCTGTCTTTCAAAGGCCATTGTAAGAATGTCAAGTACTTTTGCTCGAGGTCAGACGATGAGGTTGTTGCTCTCTTCTAACTTACTCATCGCATCATCCGAAAGATCTTCAGTTGTGGCACAATTTAATGTGAACTCTGCGTAAGTTTACCTGCTTCCTGGATGAATTCCAAGATTAAGCACCCGACCGCAGTGCCACAGCTCAAAGAATGAACTATTCCTCAACAAACTACAGCGATAGGAAAATTTAAGTTTAACACTTTGAAAAAAATAAGAATAAAATTGCTTACATCATCGACCATGGTGGACTTGTAAAAAGAATCATCATATTCCCAGGTTTCGCAAGCTTCTATTTCACTATCAATTGTTGATGGAACATGCAATGAACCATTAACTACTAGGTGCTTGTATACAGTGCATCGACTTTTCCGCACTAGTCCAGCTCGGTTCATAACTATGGGTACAGCTTCATTCTTCCATTCGAAGACAGACACATTTGCTTCGATTACCTTGAGAAAATGAAACATAAAGTCATAATTGAAGTAAATTGTAACTAAATATCACAATTAATGGAATTTAAGAACAATAATATATGCTTTAAAAGTATCTTTCATGAAAGTGTAAACAAATGTCTGAAAGTAAACAAAAAATTAAAGTTAACTATAAAACATTGCGATGAATAGAACTTAAGAATGCTATATGTATTATAAATACCCTTTGACGAAATTTTAAAAAATAAAAATCTGAACGAAGGGTTAAATAAAACTGTAAATAATATAGTTAAATATGATATTAAATTGACTATGTTAACAATGATATTAAATTAACTATGTTAACTTTGATATTAAATTAACTATGTTAACTATGATATTAAATTAACTATGTTAACTATGCTAGTAATTTAACTATGTTAATTATGATATTAAATTAACTATGTTAACTATGATATTAAAATAACTATGCTAATTATGATATTAAATTAACAGAATTTAAGAAGGATTCAGGATATGATGTGTTTTAAAAATACTTTTAAATACCAGTTTAATAATCAATGGTCCGAAAAGCCAAATGAACATATAAGTATTCACACATGAAAACATCCTTATCTTTTATTTTTTAAAGGAAAAGTATTGCAATAGTGTAATTTTAATTAATGATTTATAAATTGTACTGACATTTGTATTTTAGAATTGAAATTTTTTTTTCATTTTAGCAATTCATTATTTTAGATTGTTAGAATTAGTTTTCTTAAAATAAAAATAGTTTTTTAGATCACGAAAAATGACATTGTAACAAATAAGTCACTATTTTAATACAAATATTTAAAAAAAGGTTCACACGTTTCTTTTTGTTAAATATAAAGTTTTCTACTATTTTAGGCATACTATTCTTTATACTATTTTAATCGTATACATTAACAGATCTTGCGCGAGCTTTATTTAAAAAGTTGAATTGTGCAGTTGAGAAAGATATACACCCCTTACAGCACTTGAATCTTTTGTTTCTAATCTCAACTTTAAAATGTTAACTATTGAAGAGAAACGAGTGGCCAAAAAAAGCTTGTTTACAGATTACGATTAATTTTTAATGAAATCACTGTTTGATAATATAGTATACTGTATTAATGTGCATAAGTTTTTTGCTCTCAATTCAGCGCTTCGTGACTCCACACCGTCCCTCAAAAGCACAAACACACCACTTCATAGTTCCAGATCGGCTTCTAAAACCATCAGAAACACTACTCTGAATACAAGACATCAATACAAGTTAACAATCAGTACCACATAGTCACCCTGCCTCTGTCAAACTCATCTTTTAGCGGGTTCAATTACTGGCCTTCATGATGAAATAAGAATTAAAATTCAAAGACGCTTAAAATTCAAAGACGCAATAGGCTTCGCTGTGCAGAAAAATTGAGAAAAACACGAAAAAAGTCATGGTAAAAATTTGAAAATAAAAAAATAAACGAAAATAGGGCAATAAGAGACACCACTTCGGTCAAAATCTAATTTATAGATTGATTTCGTATTTGAAAAATAAAATGTTGTGCCTGAAATGCTCTGGATGCATAAAAAAACACACTTTATATTTAAAAAGGTAGAGTGTGTGTTGTGCGTGTTTCTTTCTTATAACTTCTGAACTGTTTGCATTGGGGTTCAAAAATTTAAAAAGAAGAATATTGGCTCCCAATATCATAATGCATTACAAAATTTCAATTATATCGATCAGGAGGCTCGTTTGAAAAGGGATTTTTCTCATTGGTTTTAGCATTAGTCATTGTTTTAAATTCAATTATCCACATTTCTGTAATTTTTTTCCTTCAAATATTTTTAAAAGAACGTTTATAACAAATACACGACCACGATTATAACAAATTTCTATGTAGCTAGTTAGAAGTGTACCATGTATTCTATGTAGCTATTCTATGTAGAAGTCATATTTAATAATTTTTATTCGTAATGTCATATAAACTCAATGATCTATTAGAACGTATTAGCATGCACGGACTATGTCACCAAACTAATGTTTCAACTGTTATCCGAAATCACGTGATCATTTTGGTTATAATTACGCTTTTGTAACATGTTTCTATCCAAGAAAATAACTAAAAATCAACTGTAATTAAACTAAAAATTTAATTAAACTAACAAGTTCCAAACAAAAAAAAACAAAGTATTTAGAAAACAAATACTTATTCGTTTTAGGAAACCTCAAAGAAACTGTCATATTATTATTGAAGTCAATGGTGCTATACATACATTTTGGAATAAGTACTATGAATACTGTCGCAATAGGTGTTGTTTCAACAGGCAATAATTATAATAAAAAATATATTTAGTATTGGTACCAAGGTATCTAATATTGGAATTGTGGTAATAGGTTTTGCACAGCTTCTTGAAAGGGTTACATAATGGAAAAATTGTTTGATCGTAGTAAATGTTGACTGCGTTGAGTTCGCTTAGAGTTGTAGTATTATTCCAATCTATGTACCCCGTCTAGCGGGAGCCTGTAAATATCAGACATTAATTTATCACGTTTTCATTTAGTGTACATTCACACGTGCATATAAACATTCTGCCTTACTTATTTAGATAGCTGAAAGTATACCCAGTCTTCATTTGGTTGGCTCTCTGGCTTGTACCTTCAGAAAAACGTTAGATAATTTTCAAGAACACGTATTACAATATTCTTTAATTTCTGTTATTAAAAATAAATATATTTACAAAAAAAGAAGGAAAAAAATAGCTGACTCAAGAAGTTCAAAAACGGGAAAGAATCCAGCATTTCCCCCTCACATCAAAGACGGATACTGATTTCAAATTTTTATTTATTTATAACTGATCCAGCATAATAATTAACAGACATACAATATCTTTATTAAGCATATTTAACAACAATGTATCTACGAAACTCACGAGAAAAAATGAAAAACCCTACAACGTTCTGGCGAGTTTCGAAGAAATTAATTTTTATTCTTTGTCGATTGTTCTCTTCTTCAAACTGAATTAAAATTTCCACCATAAGTGGTCAATTTAATGTAATTTAAATAGCCTATTTTTGTGGTATTAAATTGGTTTGAAATTTAAAGCAGCTTTCCTTGATATTTTGAATCGATAAATATTGCGAACAAATAATAAGGTATAATTATTGAATAGTATTATAAAAAACTTGGTCTGGAAAAAATGTTTCTTTCGACACAAAAATGATGTCCTTCAGCCCCTCTAAGAATGAAAGTGGAAGTGTTTTTTTAATTGATTCTATTCGTGTTTTAAAAAGTTCTAAAAGCGTTTAAATGGAGCGATATTTGAAAGTAGTATAAAAACCAAAACAAAAAAAAGAAACTAAACTTACACACTGTNGGTACTTACGACGTATTAACGCCACCGCCGCTACAGATTTGGCGGTTTTTAAGTGCCGCCAATCTACACTTAAAATTTTTGCGACAATTCATAAAATAAAACACTTTATTTAAAATCAAAATAGTCAATCGGATTTCGGTGGAAAATGAGCCGATATAGAGTTTAGCATAGATTCAAAACAATCATATCGCCATATGAACTCTGATAAATAAGATTCCAAATGAAATAACATTTCCAAAACGTACGTTTACCAAGATAAAGTTTTATGTTGTGGGAATTGGTACATTTCCGTTTTTTCGATAAAATATTTCCCTCCTGAAAAAATAAAATTGCATCTTGTTTTGTTTTTAGCAAATTCCAAAGACAAATTTTCGTAGCACTAAAAATGGCGACAAAAAAGAATTGTTTTTTCTTTTTGTTTTTGTTTCGTCAGCATTCTTTATTCAACGTTTCTTAGTTTCAAAATAATGATTTTTATTGAAACTTGAAATTTTTTGATAAATAAAAATTGTTGTCAAAAAGCTTTGTTTACAAAATTAAATTTCATAAAATTATGATTCTTATGTATACTTTTTGTTCATTTTAGTTTTTGAAGTAATATGATTCTAAAAACTATAGAATGTAAAGTTTAAATGGGCCTTTCATGTTATATCATTAAATTTAGTAATACTATTTCTCGGGCATTAGGTTTTAACTGTTATAAGAATATACATATTTTTTTCTGTTAATGTACAAATATTTTTCCGATGTGTTTTGGATATTCCTTCTCTAATAAAAAGAGATACCATTTTGTTTTCGTTTGCATAAGAAAGAATATCAAGCATTTTTCTTTTTTAAATTTAATTAGCCACAATAAAGAAGGAACGTTGCATTGCTACGTTAACGACGTCTCTAGAGTAACTGAATGACTGTTCATATAGAAATCGCAGGTATTAGCCTCATACAACAACGCCCCCTATAGTTCGTTGCGATCGCGAATTGGTTAATTGAATTAGGAAATACATTTCACGGGCTTTAGTTTAAATGATGGTTGTCACTATATATTTCTGGGTAATTTGAAATTATAAAATATATTTATTTTAATTGCATAATTTAGGTGGGAGAAGTTTAACTTCCATGTCCACGCCCATTGCAAATGTTTGTTTTGATTTTTTGGACAAAGTTTAATGTGATATTCCACTACGTTAGTATTTTCAACTTACGGAATTTTTCAAAATCTCTTTCTTTTCATTCATGTAAGTTTGATAATTTTTCACGGAATCATGAGTATTTTTCCAGAATTGACACATCCGCACTTCAAGCACAATTACTTCAAATCTTGCTTTCCGGAGTTAGTATTTTCAACTTACGGAATTTTTCAAAATATCTTTCTTTTCATTCACGTAAGTTAGATAATTTTTCACAGAATCACGTGTATTTTTCCAGAATTGACACATCCGCACTTCAAGCACAATTACTTCAAATCTTGCGGCGTTCAGGAGTGTAACGTAAAAGTGCGAAATCTCTCAATTGTTAGAGTTTTGACACGTGAATGTAAATTCTACATATAACTAACAAAAATATTTTGAAACTGACAAGCTCATAGAAAATAAGTTTTCCTCAATTTTTTTTAAAGATTAAATATTTTTACTCTTACTTTTTATTTATAATTAAGATATTTTTGAATTCAAATAGATAGAATAGAAAAATTTAGTTATTAATATTGCCATAACAATTTCGGGTATCCGAAGAGTAATTTAAATAAATTTTTTATGTATTTATGTATAGTATTTATAGAATTTTTTATGTATTTATGTATAGTATTTATAGAATTTTTTATTTATTTATCTTCAAATATGACTTCAATATAGACATCAGTGAGTATTTGATTATCTTACTTAAATATAAACTTAAGACACGGTAACTTTTCTCTGAGTGGGACTTAGCAGTATATAATAGATGCTCTTTCTCATATGCTTTCAAAAATGAATTTAATTTTCGGCTAATGCTCTTAAATTTTTCGCAATTATTATTCAGTATTATGAGTTAAAGTCAAAAAAACCCAAAAAGATTATATTCGTTTCATATTATCCAATTGCCACACAATGCTGTGAAGATCCGGGATATTTTTAAGGCGAGCAAGATTGAAGGACGAAGGCAGCAGATATCTAAGCAAATTCCTTGCGAGATCGAATAGAATGCACTTAAATTTAATACTTACATGTGACGGCCTCGCACACCAGTGGTCGACGTTCGGCGCAAAGAATGTCATAATAAGATTATGAAAACAATGTGGCCAAGCACATAAGAAACAAAAAAAGTATATTCCAAGTTGCCATCGCCCATGTCCTCCTATAATGTCTGTAAACTCCTCCTCCTCTGCTTCAACGCTCAGAGGTTTCTTCTCCGACATCTTTGAAAATCTTCTAAAACTTTTTGTAAATGTTTTACTCTTCTGAAATGAAAACAAAAGCATTATTAAACAGACAAGACATTATTTCAAGCTTATTTCAACTTTCAGATCAGAAATTTAGAAGATGGTGCTCATGTGAGGGAATTGAAATTTTACAAATTGAAAATATAAATAAATGATTTAGTTTCAGATTGAATTGGAGATTTAAACGAATTAGCCTTCAAAAAGCGCATGTATTCAAAAACCTGTTATTAGTTTTAAAATTTTTGTGCTGCGCTAGCTTTCAAATAATTTAAACAATGTTAAATGTACATTCTATGTCTAACTTTTCAAGTAAATGTCACGATGTTTTGTAAGAAAAAAGATGCATTTATTTAAAGATAATACATAGTTTAAAGCATATACTTAGTTTTATACTTAATAAATACTCACTTTTTAAAACGTTTTCGCTTAAAAGTTGTTTTAGCTTAGAGATTAAAAATTTAACCTAGAGGCTGCATAAAAACACTTGATATAAACAGAAGAAAAAGAGTTCTGGGTTGCTTCAAAATGTGCAGTAGAAGAACACAAAAGCATTAAAAGCGATATTTCAAATTGAGGCTGGCATAGCTGTATCATCTCATATCCATATCTAATCTTTTTTTTAAAATTTTATATCCTTGCGCAGTATTTGAGAAAGTAAGAACATTTATCACATCAACGACAGTCTTACATTTAAAGAATTTTCGACGCGTCCAAAAGAAGTTAATGAAAAAATTTCGAAATTTTCATACTCTACTTTTCATACAGTTTTTATACTTTTTCTGAGTTCCTGAGTAACAATACTTCCGTACAATGTACCCAGTGGTAAACGAATCATTATGCTTAGTTGGGCTAGCCACAGGAGGTTAATGTTCTCTATGAAAATCAATGAATATTTTCCTTAATAAGAAAAAAAAAAGAATTGAAAAGAATAGCGTTTTTACTAAGACTTACTTGATCCTGTCATCAGAGGGAATTTCAAAACAAGGGAGCGAACATGATCGTTTATGGTTTTATATCCACAGCAGAATATAAATTGATAAAAATTGATAAACAATTTCAATTCGATTGCTATGAAAATTAAAATATAAAAGTGGTAGTGTCTACTGATGGTTTATGTCAGCGAAATATTTCCGGTTTTAAAAATGCTGCTCACGAAAGATGTCGGCCCGAATATTATAGGCATTTAACGCGAAACATTTGACTCAGCTATCTTAGAAAGAAAAAAGATTCAAGCTGCATTTCAAACATAACCGCTACATTAACATAATCGCTGAGTTTAACTTAACCGCTGCAGATGATTTTAGAATCTCAACTTACGGGCTTTCCAATCAAGACGGGCTTTTGAAGATTTCTAAGAGCTTATCGAGCTTTCTTATTCATTCATTCTGTGAGTAAAAATAGATATAATATAGAGTCAAGGTAGCTCTTTGTGAGGCTTGCTGAGGCCACACAATCTGTTCTAAATAGGGAAAGGAGGGAAACACGAAGGTAACTGTCTAGCATCATTTTATACATTCTTTTTCTTTTAATTTCTGCATTACTATAAAACAATGGATGGCAAACATTAGGCACTGTTTCATTCATCTCAAAAACTAAAGCTTGTTTATATCTGTAATCCCATTCGAGGAAAACTAGAGTTTTTTAATCAATACTTGAAAAGTTATCAGTGTAAGTATCACTGTGATTGCCAAAAGAAGAGCTTCACTTCTTAAGTGCTCTTATTAGTTGCATAATAATAAAAAAAATCTGATTATTCTTCAATTATTCGTATTTTATAATGGTTAGTAAGCGGAATTTCTAAGTACTTCTTAAAGCCATATTTATTTATTTTTTATTTTATTCAATCTATCAAAAACCTCTATACTACCTATAGTAAAGTTATTTCTATTGCACAATCCAAAAAGTATTTCTATTGTCTTCCATATCCTGTCTTCACCATTTTTGAAACGTTTGATAAATGATGAAAATCCATTTAAATTTACCATTTAGTTAATGAAAAACTAAAATAAATTAAATAACAGAAAAGCTGTACTCTGACTCGGGCATTTTTTCTTAAAAACTTTGCATTAAGATAGCATGTACTATACTATATTATTTTTTGCAACAAAATTTTAATATCAAAATTAATTTTCTTTCACATATTGGTAACAGCGTTTTTTCTGCAGTTATTCTTTTAAAGTTATAAATTTAAATATTTCTCTAATTTTTCATTAAAACATATAACCCAATATTTACTCACGTATTGACCATACATTAATATATATAACCCATTTGTTAACACATATTTAAAATAAGATTGAAAATATTAATTTCAAGCAAATTATTTCAAATAAAATGGAAGATTTTGCTGTGTTTAAGTTTTATTTTTTTAAAAAAAAGTGGTAAATAAACTGTGGAAGTTCCTTGTTCGTTATTATGATTCTTCTGTCCATGACCCACTAACAATGAACGCAATGAATGCAGTCTGACCTTGCCTCAAATATTATGTCATTGTAAACAGTTGACACACAATACAGCTTTGAAAAAAAAATATGTTTCGAATTAAATACATTGTAATTGAAGACAAGATTCTTGAATCGTCATCATCATAATTATAAAAGATACAAACTAAACGAACTTTAATGTGAGGATGATGAAGATTCCATCAAAACGGGCCCTCAGGAAGAATCAAGTTTAATAAAATATGGTTAAAACCACCAAAATATAGTAAGAGTTACCGTGTTTATGACTCTATGGGACCATCAAAAGCTTGATATATTTTTGCCTAAGTGATTCGGTAATGATTATGGTAAGATAAAAATTAAATATGGTTTTATAATGTGTGATGAAATTAAGTAAATGTGGTAAAATTTGGTAATTTTATCATGATACCTTAGAGCATGGCATTAAAAACCTTTAATTCGGTAAAATTTTTTCTTCAGTTTTGAATTTTTTTGCTAAATCTGTGGTAATAAGAACTATATTACCAGTATCTCCGGTAATCAGCTATTTTATGAACGAAAAGTTACCAAATGAGTAGTTTATATACCTTATTTGATACCTGATTGAGTTAGCATAAATAAGCTATTTTATATCAATATTTAATCTACTTTCACGAAACAAGGCTAGAAAACCTTCTGTAATCGAGGCAAATTTGACAGTACCAATATGAAATTACTAAATGAATAGTTTAAATACCTTATTTGATTCCTTATTGAGCTTGCATAAATAAGCTATTTTATATCGAGATTTAATTTACTTTCACGAAACAAGATTAGAAAACCTTCTGTAATCGAGGCAAGTTTGACAGTACCATTATTATTTTTTCATGAAAAATAAGGTTTTCAGGGGTGATAGTTCCATTATTAGTAATATTTCTTCTGCTTCATAGGAATAATGATTAACCTGTCAAACTTTTAATGCCAAAAGAAACCGTAAATACAACGTTTGCCGTAGAGTTGCTTGCAATCTGTGCTCTGCATATACTATTTTAAAAATATAAGAATTATTTAATATTTCTTTACACATAAAAAAAATATGTAGGTAAATAATAAATAATTGTTTTTAAAGGTATTAAATAGGTAAAACAAATAATGATACTGAATAGTTAATGACGTTGTTTGATTTCCTAACAGAAACAAGAGAAATAATGTAATTCAGTCCTTTACAACTGAATTGATATTAAATTTTATCTTTAAGTATAAAGGCATTATTTAATTATTTTCATGTGTGAATTGATTTTTGCAATTACTCTTTTTTACACGGAATACGTTTTCATCACATTTCACATAGTGAAAATTAAATAAACATTTAAAAGAACTCCTTATCATTACGTTTCTAAAAATAGTTCTATGATTAATACTTGTGCCGTCGTTATCAATATTAGTGATTTTCTATTATTAGTAGTGATATTCTTTTATTAGTTTCTTTTTTTAAGTAGGGTAATCCTTTAAAAATAAAATCAACAAATAAATGTTGCAAATAAATCTTGTACAATTCAGAACTTCGGAAGGATTAATTGTTATTTCGACCATCACATTATTTCGGCCCTGATGTCTGAACCTTCGATTCTTAGCTTCTAAAAAAATACGCTCTAACAAAATCTATAGTATAGTGATTTTCAAAAAATGACGCTAAATTCTCCTGCTTGAAAACTAAAGTAATTTTAAACATTTTATATAAATTAGTTTTTTTTAAATTTTATATAACATTTTATATTAGTTAACATTTTATATAAATTAGTCTAAGAACAATTTTTTTCTTTTTGACTTAGTTTTGTAATCTGTATGAAGCTTATAAATTTATATTTACTTAATATTTAAAAATAATACAGTCAAGAACATGCTGATATGTTTATGTGTATCTTCGTAGCTATGGCGAAATTTATGACTGCGTAGAAATCAAGTGAAATCTCAATCTATCATGAGTATTTAGTTTTATATATTTTTATGAATATTAATATTTTTATGAATATTTTAATATTTTTTTATGTTAAGTTACAAATATATATTTAAGAAATTTAACTGTCTGTGTTTTTTTCATAACTCAATTTTATTCCCAAGAATTAGACATTTTTCATAATTAATGGTAAATTCGTTTCAATAATTATTTATTTTGCGTGGTTTGCGAAATTAAAACATTTTTTAAACTGCAATTAACTAGACTATTGCATTGTACTGAGAAAGAATTTTCCTTTTTTTTTCTAAATAAATATTAAATCTATTCATTATTGCATTTAAATTGACCATAATATAACAGTATGCATGTTTGTCCCTACTTTAGATTCCAATTTAAAATTTGAAATATTTATATTCTGTTACTTAGTTGAAACTGGAAGTACACGTATTTAAAATTATTAATCCCCTGCCAGTATAATCCTTATTTTATTTATCTTATTATGACTTATGGAAGTAAAATAGAAATTCGGAACTGTAAAATATTTTTTTAGAAATGCTGCTTTATACTAAATGAAGAGGATAATGAGAGTATATTATTGCACATTTTACATTAATACGTCAATTATTGTATGTGCCTTATTT